CAACAAGCAGATCAGTAATGTCTGATTGCATTTTAAGATGTCTTACATGTAAGAATAGTCTTCTGGGATTTGTTTTTCTGGGCTTTGTTTTTAGATTTGAAATAGAAATTAAGTATTGAAAGAATTTTGAACAAACAAATTGTGATATTTAGATAGACACTAAGTATTTGATTTAGAATGTTTATTGACAGGTAGATCTAAGATTTGAGTTGATTATATTCTGTTTGTCATGTATTTGAAGCATGAGAAATACCCGGAAAGGAATACACATGTACATGTACATTATGTATGTTTCTGGACAGGATAATCTGTGAGGGATTTTGGGTTTGTTTCTTACATAATCACAGTGAAAAACCTGAATAAAATAATTCGCCTCCAAGAGTGTTTTATTTTAAATACTGGCATTTATAAACTCCACCTGCTTGGCAATGTAAATGCTCATTCTTAAAACATCAGTGTCACATGACCACTTCGCTTCTGAGCATGCTCAGAATCTACAAGTGGTGCATGGGCACAACTCCCCCCCCCCCCCCCAAAAAAAAAAAAACTAAAAAATAACGAAACAACAACAACAAAACAAAACAAAAACAGCAATGGGTTTTTCCAGTACAGTTATTTTCTGCAATGTAAATGGGCCTAAACCTTCTATTTTTCAATATTGAAATTACTGAGTTTACAGCAAAAAGTTTTTTTTTGGGGGGAAAACTATTTTTCAAACAATTGTCATTATGTTCAATGCAGATGTACAGTAGTGCTAGGAAGTAAAACACTTTCTCCAGCCTTCTTTAGTATTGTATGTTCATCCAAGTAGTACATGACCTTTATTCATGGAAAAACAAAGGGAAAATACAAAGTAAGTTCAGGTTACTTTTTTTCTAGGAACAATGTGCAGGACTTTATAAAAATAAAAAATGGCAAACATATAAAGTATACATAGATTTTTGTTACATATTGAGATACAGGTATAATGAGTGTTTTTGTGTAATGATCTCAATTCAAGGCTACGGTGGTTACAAACAATCAAATTTGAAGTTTGAAATTGTGATGAGAAATAGTGAAAAAACTGAGTAAAACCGGAAGGTAGTTGATGAGTCTTCCTTTAGCATGTATGTATTACAATGTTACATGTATACACTGTACATGGTATGAAGACAGTTTATAGTCAGATAACTTTGGTTTAAATACTTACAGATATATTTGAAGAAACAAGCAATTATTACATCATCATTTGAAACCAATTATTGATAAAAATGTATCCATAAAGGATCAATGTAAAAATAGAGAAGCTGAAAGGGAGAAGAAAGAATAAGGTGTAATGATGTATAGAGAGGAAGGAGGCAGAAATACAGAACAGAAGATCAAGAAGAAGGATTGGGTAATTAAAGTAGAAGAAGAAGAGAAAGAGACCAAACAAAAAAAAGAAGAGAAGAAGAGTCTTTGTGAAAGAAAATGAAGGGAAAGAACAGCCTTTATTTATACAGAAGTCATCCTGAGCATCATATCGGTCCACCTTGGTTCCGCCCTGGCATTGTCACAAGATTCTACAAGATTTTGTTTTTTTTCCCCACCCATCTTTCACTTGCTGTATGTTGTCCTGTTTTATGTAATGATTATTTCATAATTTAGCCAATAAGCAAGCAGCATGTTTTGTGAGCATGGGTATTTGCCGATCTGAAACACTGTCGAAGATATCATTAGTGAAGTTAATAACATTGACATAGCAGAATGCACTTTGTAAGGTAAACATGTATGAATGTATGAGTGAAGAATGTGGGGCATTCCTGCACTGTGACTCTGTATGTGCAGGCATGCCTCATTCGTGACCACTCGCATATAATCATGATTTTGTTAACTGTTCATGTCGTCACTCAATTAGTTGTGCGGGTCTGTCAGAATGAGACCAGGCCGGGAGAAGAGAAGGGGAGGAAAGGAAGAGGCAGATTGAAAGGGAGACGGAATGTTGTGTGAGAGAGCAGGTATGGAGGAAAAGAAAGATCCAGAGAGTGAGAGAGAGAGAGAGAAAGAGAGAGAGAGAGAGAGAGTAAGGGATATGAAGCAAAGAAGTATACTTGAGTATGAGAAGGAGAGAAATGCATGTAGACACCCCCCCCCCCCCCAAAAAAAAAGGGATACAGGTTGAAAGTGGATTGAAAATATAATGCTACAGAAAGAGACAGAGAGAAGCATAGACAGACGAACAGATGAGTAGAAAGATAGAGACAAACACCCTAGATAGTATCAAACAAGCACAAAGGAAGATAATAGAGACATATGAAGCAACATGATAGGAGTGTGAGAGTGAAAGAAAGATTCAATAGAGGGAAAGAAACATCAAGAAAGAAAGTGTATGAGTTGGGATAGCAAGAAAGAGAAGGAGACAACAGATGGATAGCTAGAAGGAGAAAGAGAGAGAAAGACAGGAACACAGACAGAGAGACAAAGAGAGAGAAGACGGATAAAGAGATGAGCGTAGAGATACCTTAAGTGTCAGTGTTGTCACAGTCAATTGAATCATAGCAAGCACACTGTGCAACTCAATTAGAAGATTAATGTTTCCTAAACCTATCTTCAAGTATGGTGTACGAATGAAGAAAAATAAGTTGAGCTGAGCATAGTGACTATAACCGGTATTGGCATAGCCAAATCTAATAGCCAAATCTAGCTTAAATGTCCACTTCCAATTGATAGCATTTTACCATGTTGAGCTATATTTGTATTCTCAATTCAATCTCTCTTTAAGTGACTTATCGAGAAGACTTTCTTCAAAAGTATTGTCTTGAAGTCAATTTACGATTGCTAGATAATATTTTTGCATTTCACTGTATATTTTAATAAATTACTGTTCTATTGAACACAAACAATTTATAGACGTATGTGAATCCTCTATCCACTAAAGCGTGATACCCAAAGAAATATATTTAGTGCATTTTGGAATACAGCAGAAATACTAATGAAAGACGAAAAAATAACCCATTATGGAGCTTATTTGTGTTAAATACATATAGGTCCCATCTGAAAATAACAACATAAACATTATTTCAAGTCCAATTTCAACACTTTAAATGAAATTTTATGACAGTTATTTTAAAGACTTGCACAGTATGGGTTAAATAATGCCATCTGTTGTAGATGTTGTTTTTATTGTTGTTGATGTTTTTGATGTTGTTGTAGAATAGATGATAATGATGTTGTTGATGATAGTAATGTTGTTTTTGTTGTTGTGTGCACCCGGTTAAAGATGTTCATGCGTGGGTATATAGTCGTTAGTGAAGTAGGTAACTTGGTGAACACTGAGCCAACGGGTATTACACTCCCGTACAGATGTACGCATGAAGGGACACTAGTACGCACAGGAGCGTAATACCTGTTGGCTCAGTATGCTGCCCTCTATATACCCAAGCTTGAGCAACTTTAATATTAGACTTGTCTTCAGTAGATGTGTAAGTAGTATGTACAGTTTTATGTTTGCCGCATGTACACATCTCAATGGCTCCTCAGGATGTATTTCTAGTCATTATGACGGCATATACTGTTCATTGTCACCGTGGAGCCTAAGCTAAGGGCTTCTGTCTCACCGCAGTCTATATTTTTTGTGAATCAAAAAAAGAAGATTTCTCAGATGTTTAATGTTTAGTGAAATATTCTGTAGGAAAAAAAGTGAGTAAAAAAGATAACTAGAAAGGGTTGAAATAGAAAAATAAAATTGTGAGTGTTTTTGTCTTCCATCTTTGGGTATTCAGCTCTTCTATTCTTGCAGACAGTTTATGGCAAAGTCCCGCGCTCAAGAAAGCTATTTGCTTAGGGCCTTTTTCTACTACTGCTTGAAGACAAAGCAGTCAAACTTTGGAAGCGTTTAATAAAAATTTCTAAAATTCTTTTCCTCTCAAAATTTAAAAGTTATTATCTTCTCTAATTCTTCCTCTAGAGTTGAGCTATTTATCAAATAAAAGCTTGTGAAAAGTAGAATCAGAATCAATCAGAAAAATAGAATTTGAAAAAATATTAAAACTATGAATTTTGCTCATGCAAGTCACCCTCCTTCCTCCCACAAGGCTCCAATTCTTTTAACCACTACTCTTGAATCAGATCCAATTTCTGGGCTCTCCTCCTAAATGTGCTACTACTATTATTCTATTGGTACGGGATTTAACAGAATGCCTCAATTGAGATGTTTCAGGGGTTTGTTTGCATCGCTTCATTTTAATGAAAGTAAATTCAAGCAGTAGACATGACTATTCAGACTTGAATGCTATTGTGAGATCATGTTACCAAGATACTTGTAAGCAATAATGAATCTTTGAGGCCCCCAATCTTTCAAAGTTTCTGAGAGCATTCTTTGAGATCAAAGGATGCTCAAATTCAGTCAAATCTTGTAGTTGGTTCCTAGAGGTTTGGTACTTTAAGACAAAAGATATTAAGAGATGCAATTTGTTTCTTTGAAACATTAGATGAGGTAAAGTAATTCAGTATGTACAACCTGTATATGACTACAAGAATATCACTCCACGAAATCCTTATTTTCAAGTTAAGAAAATTGTAACAAATCTGAGAATATGTGAGCAGGAATCCTTGTATCACATTGCTTCAATGATATTATTCTACATGTAGAGAATTTAGAGATAGTTCATATTTTATTTTTCTTACTGATAACAAAGCACATTTACACTGTACTACTGCAGTGAATATGGATCTGTAGGAATTACTAACCTCTCAGCTCATGTACTTCCTAAACATAAATAATAGACTGCCTATTGTATATCATATACTCTAATTCATAAAATGGTACTAAAACACAAAGTTTGTTATTTCAGTGATGAGCGCAAGGTTTAACATGTCTTTACTCTTTTCATTAACTGGTTTAAGTGCAATGCCTTTCCTATGCGTCCATGTCAGTTCATGAAACCATTTGCAACTTTTACTACTTGCTCTTTAGAAATTGACTTTTTAAAAGTTATCATATTGAGGTTATTTTGAAATGATAATTCTTTTCTCTTTTTAAGGAATCCAAGCCCCCAATTCAGGACTTATATTCAGACCTACGAGATGGATCAATTCTTCTTGCGCTACTTGAAGTACTCAGCGGACAAAAATTAGTAAGTTTAATTCAGTTTCATATACCATGTGTACAAATGTAGAAGTGTGTTTGATATATTTGCAAACATCAGTGATCATATAATGTTGCCAGAAATGTCTATAATTAAAGATTCTTTCCTATATCCTTTTTTGTTTGTCACAAATGGAAAAGGTCAATATTCATTTTGCATGATTCAACTGACAGTTGTTGAGCTGGACTTATCATCATTTTGTAAAGAGAACTACATGTATGTTAATATCCTGGATCCAGGAAATCAAATTACATTGGTTCCACCTGATGATCTGGATGATGTTAGGCGGCCCCTTAAAGGCTGACTCCTGAAAGGCTGACCCCTGAAAGGCTGACCCCTGAAAGGCTGACCCCTGAAAGGCTGACCCCTTAAAGGCTGACCCCTGAAAGGCTGACCCCTGAAAGGCTGACCCCTGAAAGGCTGACCCCTGAAAGGCTGACCCCTTAAAGGCTGACCCCTGAAAGGCTGACCCCTGAAAGGCTGACCCCTGAAAGGCTGACTCCTGACAGGCTGACGTCTGAAAGGCTGACCCCTTAAAGGCTGACCCCTGAAAAGCTGACCCCCGAAAGGCTGACCCCCGAAAGGCTGACCACCGAAAGGCTGACCCCCGAAAGGCTGACCCCCGAAAGGCTGACCCCCGAAAGGCTGACCCCCGAAAGGCTACTACATTCTCTCTTTTACATAGACTTAAATACAGGGATTGCCTAGTTCCAGTAGACAATGGGTTAAGGCTATGTAAGGCTACCGAATATTATAAATAATTATCCATATTTATGTACATGTACATCGTTTTCTATTGTTAAATGTTATATTGTATTTTCTAACATTTGCATTTTCACTGTCAAAAAAGCCATTGGAAGCAAAATTTCTATGTTATGTTTGCAACATGTATGGACCAATAAAATAATCTCGAATCTTGAATCTTATTTTGTTGTCATGTACACATTCGTCATTCATGTAGTCAGAACAAAATTAGTTCACAGAAAAATATTTTATTTTCAAAATTGCTGTCTGTCACTCTTCATTGTTTGAAATCCTACCCGTTCTTCTCCTGATTGGCTGCAATTAAGCAATTTTAGAAAGCAGTAGATTAGATTAAGTTCTCCTGCTCACCACAGTCTGTGCTGGTTCTGTGCTGCTGAATTAATTCTCTTCTACACTATGGGAAGTCACCTAGAACTTTTCATACCCATCCTCATCATCTAAAATATATATTTTGGATAGTATTTAAAGTTCTGTATTTAGTTTTAGATGGGTATTTTAAGTTCTGACTTAACTTTTGGATGGGTATGCTAAGTTCTTGAATTAAACTCCCTTCTTTTGTTCATGAAATAGACTTTAAAACCTGCAAATCATGCCTCAAAACTAAACTATTTCAGTAGATATGTAGAAAGTCTGCCCCTTTGAATGTTTAGCTAAAATATGGTACCACACAATATGTAAATCATCAACAAGTGTCATTTTACAAAGCTGCTCCCCTCACACTTCAATGCCCTTTCTTTGTACTATACTACATGGGACATGCTTAAAGGTAATACAAAGTTTTGGGAAATTTTGAAAATTGGGTGGATAATGATTCTTTACAATTTTGATACATTTGGATGCCCCTGTGGATGTATTATAAGCACTAGAAAATTTAGCCCCTAAAACACTTCTGCTTTCGAGAAAAATAGCACCTACAGCCGTACAATGGTAGTTGCGACCATGACAATCTCTGAATATGTAGTTGTGATATATAATTTCCAAACGGGAATAGCTAGTCGGTTAATTTTAGTCAAGAAACATTATTTTATAGCTTAATTAATATCTTGACCTTTAGAGGGAGCTTTACAGCATAAAGAGTTAATTATTTATAATTTCATAACTTAAGACTCGATTTCAACCGCGACAACCATGACTGAATATTGTAGGATCACATATGCTTCCAATATGTTCATTTGAACCGAATTCATGACCCCATACCAAAACTTTGTATTACCTTTAAATATCTACCCCACGTCTTGTTAGCGAGTTCAATAAGTTTTTAGTTGATGCTGACTGGATAATCATTAACTCATAATGATCACAGAATTAACGATCTTCTGGCTCTCAAAAAGACAAACTATAATTGAAACTGATTCCGTTCTTTCTCTTCACAAGACAAGTGAGTTACTGTACATGTTTGATTTAGGGCTAATGAAATCAAACCTAGGGTGCGTTTATTGACCAATTTGTTGCCTAGAATCAGGTTTCTCAAACGTCTTTCAGGCAAATTTTTAAGGTGATAAACGCAAAGCCTTTTTCAAACTTCTATAGATATGGGCATATTGTAACACCGATAAAGGTGTGTTTTGAATGTGATATACAGCCAGATTCACGTTTCTGAGACGTGATAAACGCAAAACTTGTTTAAACCCCACATACATATTGGACTTTCCCAGGCTAATTTCCGGTTCAGCGAAATAGTGCGCACCATGTGATATGCCCTAGTTGACCTCCGAGCAAATCTCTGCTTCCCGGGTCAAACGGCGCAAAACAGCTGCGCATAGACGAGGCCTTTATTTTTAATCATGAAGAGATGATAAACGCGACATCCCGAAAATCACGTTCGTATAGTGGGGTTCGATATGTACATATCTAGTGGCAAGACACGATAAACGCACCCCTAGTGGCACTTGTTTTCCTGCAACGGAGTACCAGAAGAAGAAGATGGTTTATTCATGGAATGTAAGAAAAGCCTTGACATTCAGCCTAGCTTTGAGATATAAATACATTCAGGATTTATTCATCACTCTATTTACACTTGAGTTTCAGGGGGCTGTTTTCATTTGTTCATCAAGGAGGTAGAGATCAATTCCTAGCACTACGGAATGACATTTCCAGAGAATTTTCTATTTTTGATAAAAAATATCATAGACATTTTGATAAGAGTATGCAAATTCATGAAATTATTATATTAATATGAGGTACTTTCACCACATTTAAGTTTCCTATAAACCATAATCAAATTTATAAAATATTGAATTGTATATATACTTTGGTTAGGAACAACACATACTTGTCTGTTTATACAAAGCTATTTAAAATACATTTTTTTATGAATTAGATGAATGGTTGATAGGAAAAACGTTTTTGATATTTTTTTTAATTTGAAGTTCATATTTTTAGCATAATATGGAAAGTTGCTCAATATTAGACGTTAATTAGGGCATGACTTGGAATCCCTATTTTCATGTTCTATCAGATGTAGTTGAAATCACTAGGCACATTTTAACATGAAGGCACATGTAATGTCTGTTTCTTAATTTCTTTATACTACATTTCTCAAATTTTGAGTGCAGAAGTTTAGCATTATAATGCCTAATTATTTTAGTGCCCAAAATATGACTGGCACTATATAAAAGTGTACAAATATTTGCAGTACTCTTAATTTAGGAACATAGAGTTTGATTTTTATAGAAGGCAATTATTCTCACATCACTTGTCACTTAATTTTTTTATAATTTTAAAAAAATATTTTTTTAAAATATTTTTTTTTTTTTATAATTTATTTATTTATTTATTTATTTATTTTTTTATTTTTTGGGGGGATTACATGTATATTTACTTGAATAGTAAGCAAATAACTACCGTTGGTGAAGGTGATGGGACAAACTATCACTTCCGAGGCGATCTGGATGTAGCTATCTTTCCGAAGCGAAGCTGAGGAAAGATAGCGTATACATTGTGATCGACGAGGAAGTGATAGTTTGCCATCGCCTGAAACCAAAAGATGATTATTTGCTTTATATTCCACATCTAAAACAATTTAACTATAAAAAGAAAAGGACGTGTATGCATCTACATGAAAGACACCAGACCCAAACTGCACCAAAAAAGTTAAAAATTTAACCAAACCCCTTGAGGGTACGGTGCGCGCATGTGTTTGCTTTAATTGCGCTCATTGGTAATGCGCGCTTAATTACGCCTGTTTTAGTGCGCTTTTGGATAATCTTCAGTGAAAGTGCGTTGCCCTGTGTAGACAGTACCTCTTTCTTCAGTGAAAGTGCGTTGCACTGTGTAGATAGTAGTACTATCTACACAGTGTAACAAACTTTTTGCTTCTCCCATCAATAATGGGCGAACTATCTTTCGTCACGTGATTTACTTTTGACGATTCGTAGAGCAAGATTCTTAGTATGTGGAATATAATGAGTTAAGCAAATAAGGGATAAAGATGTGAACAAGTACATACATTAATGGCCTTAACATGCACATGTATACGCATGCCACTTCTGTTAGTTAAAACGATTCTCTTAGTGATCTTTGAGAGATATTTTGTGAGACATCCTTGTAGGAGGCTTAGTGTCTTCCTTTGCCTGTCCCCCTCACTGTCAAATACAAGGTCATTCTCACATTGATTCTACAGGTATGAATTACATGTTGTTTTGAAACCATTTATGTCCTATAGGCCTGTATGTATGATGATGTTTTCAAAGATCATTGTTTTTTACTGCAATATAATGAAGCTAACTTTGAAAACAATTAAAAACACATTTTCATGTACTGAACTTGTAAATGACGTAAGATGTCTAGTGAGAGAATCAAATAATATGAGATGATTTCAGAAAGTATCTTTCCTCCCTCCTCCTCCTCCTCCTCCTCATCCTCCTCCTCCTCCTCCTCCTGAAGCATACACACCTGTATTGCAACCTGATCAGGGATAGACTGTACATTGCTTTAGGCAACGAACATCCTCAAAATATAAAGTGGATCCCAATTTTACTCTGGGATGCTCCTTGCTAAACACGTTCATAACATGCATGCATAATTTTTTTTGCAACTCTGCTGAGTTTTGGGCTGGCACCTTAATATAAACATTTTATTACCCCCTTCCCTTCTTTCTCCTCCTCCCATTCCTCCCCCTCCCCCTCCCCCCCCTCTCCCTCCCTCCTCCTCTCCCTCCTCCTCTCCCTCCTCCTCTCCCTCCTCCTCTCCCTCCTCCTCTCCCTCCTCCTCTCCCTCCTCCT